AAAATTAGATTTATGTGTAATTTGTGAAACCTTTTGAATAATTTGTTTTTATATTTCAATTTTCTATTTGATGAAATTGTTTCTAATGTTGAATTCTTGATTATTATTAATTATAATTTATAATTGTCCCAAAACATATGAATTGATGACTCTAGTCTCTAAAAATATATTAATTCTCAATTGAAATATTTAAATAATTTTCTCTAATTTTTGGACAAAGATTTAGTAAAAAAGTATATTTCATTTTATGTTTTTAGATAATGGAGAAGTTTTTTAAACGGAAGTCCCCCTCAACACCGACAACACATGATTCTGGACCATCTGTACCTTCAATAGCTAAAGAAATAGATTTAAGTGATCTTCCGTGGGATCCTTCAGACAGAAAAAAGATTTTAGAGTATCACCCTAATCAAAGAGATGAAATAAGAAGAAAATATTTGATTAGAGGACCATGTCAACCGCGTGGCCATGATGTTTCAGTCAAACATCGTAAACCGAAACAGGCGCTATAAATTAAATTGGGACGGATGGAGTATAATTTTACTAATTTTAAAATATTTTGTTTTTCTTATTTTAAATTTGTTTGATAAAATTAATTTTTTCATCATGATATAAAGTACATTTTAAAAAAAAATCGGGGGCTCGACCCCCGAACCCCCGCTTTGCTATACTGCCCCCAGTCATTCACAATCCTGGATCCGCCACTGCAGATCTACCATGACCACCACCGTCTACCCAACCATCGCCGCCACAGCCCCATCATAGCCGTCACCATGGCACAGAAGATAGATCTAAAATAAAGAATAAGGGGAAAGAAAAGGAGAAGTGGAGATCTAGACTCACCATCGCCGCTACCGCCGCTGTCACCATTGTCGACACCGCTACCACACCATCGCCAATACCGCCGCCGTCAACATCGCCGACACTGCCGCCGCCACTGCTATACACAGATCTAGAAGAAATGTGGGGGAGAAAGAAGAAGGGGGGATAAAGAAGAAGAAAGAAAACGGGGGAGAAAGAGAAGAGAAGGAGGTAGAAGAGGAGGAAGGTGACGAGTTGGGAAAGAAAGGAAGAAAGAAAGGGAAAAAGAAGTGGCGGAGCCAAAAAAAGAAGGAAAGAAAGGAAGGAAAAAAAGAAAGGAAGAAAAGAAGGAAAGGAAGGAAGATGAGGGTAATTTTGGAAGAATAGAGAAAAAAAAGGTAGAATGGGAACATCATTTTCGGACGAAAAACAGAGTAAAATAGGAACATCATTTCCGGACGGATGGAGTACTTTTATGAGCATATTTTTAACAGTTATTTATATTTATTACTTCTATGAGCATATTTTTCATCATGTGTTTGACTAACCCATAAAATGATGGACTTTCATTTGGTGGCAAGACATAGTATTCAAAGGAGACTTTCTTAATTACTTCTGGTGATTTTAAAAGGGACAAGACAAGATATTGTAAATGCAACAATTAATTCTTCACATTTATAGGATCATTATACATTACTGTGTTTGACTAATAATATGAGGCTCAAGTCAATGATTGACAATTTGGAATACAAGAGCTTAATGAACTTCGCCGCTTGGATGGCAAGAAATGGAATGACGATATCAATGAAATTAATATCACAAAGGATATGTTATTAACACACTCTGATGACCCTATTGCAGTCATTGTACATGCAACATACCCACACTTTAACGATATTGTCAATGATCCAAATTATTTACAACAAACGAGCCATTCTTGCCCCTACATTCAATGTTTTAGATGCCACCAATGGTTATATGACATCGCTAAATGTCAATGAGGAGTCAAAGACTACTTATCTTAGTTCTAATAAAACAATTTACAACTCGGACTCAAACATTTATTTGTTGTCTGATTTACATTCCCC